GGGGTCATTGGGGGGGTGGGAAGGGGGAGGGGGTCATGGTGGGTGGGGAGGGGGAGGGGTGGAGGTGGTGGTAAGGGGAGGGGGGTAATGAGGGGGTAATGGGGAGGTAATGAGGAGGATTGGGGGGGAGGGAGGTAAGGAGGAAGAGGGGAAGGGGGTGAGGGAGGAGGTGGGATAAAAATTATGTGGTGTTAGTTTTTTTGTGGTGCATATATACATATATACTATATACGTATGTACACACACACACACACACATACACACATACATTCATAAATGTGTGTGTGTGTGTGTGTGTGTGTGTGTGTGTGTGTGTGTGTGTGTGTGTGTGTGTGTGTGTGTGTGTGTGTGTGTGTGTGTGTGCGTGCGCGTGCGGGGGTGCATGTATCTATATATTCTTATAAACCATTATAAACAATGGTCATTACAAGATATGATACAACATATTTGCACTATCAGTCTTTATAACCATTATCACTTAAAATAACAACAATTTCTATACCTATCACCATTACTAGAATAATCCAAAAAAAAGCAAATACAATGCTTCGTTATCCTTATCATTATAACTATCACACCATCAAGACAAAAACCAAAAGTACTACTTGCACCACCATCGTCTCTCTCACCATTAGATCCCTTTTAAAGACAACAGTTCGTCCTTGCCACTGTCACTATCGCAGTTTTTTTCATCCTCATCCAAACAGTGACATAAACTGAAGAATATATATCTCCATTTCCTCTCATCTTAACAGCAGCATTAACGAAACAACACTTACTATTCACATAACACAATTATCACTATAACAACAACAACAAAAACAAAAACAACAGTAACGTTTCATATTCACATTACCATTATCACAATCATTACCTTCTCTCTAACTACAACTAAAACAATAACAACACCTTCAGTTTCCACTATTATGACGTTCATCATTATCATCGCCCCGACAACAACAACAACAACAACACTTTCTATTCTCATTACTATTATCATTCCCTTTACAACAACACTTCTTTATATTTATAACCATCATCACTACACCCAAAACATGCAACAACCTCAATAACATGCAAAAACCATTACAATCCTTATAACTACAACTACAACCTCTACAACAACTATAACAACAACAATCCCCTACAACAAAAAACGTCAACTACAACCCATACAACAGCAATCTCCTACAACAAAATGAACAATCAAAACACCCACCATATCCCCAGTAACCTCCACAACAACCATAACAATCCCCACAAACAATAACTACAACTACAACCTCTACAAGAACTACACCAATAACCTCTACAACAATAACTACAACGACAACAACTTCTATAACACCAACCACCTCTACAACAACAACTACAACTACAACCTCTACAACAGTAACTACAATTACAACCTCTACAAGAACCACACCAATAGCCCCAACCTCTACAACACCCCCTCTCACCAGAGCGTCGAGGTGGTCCTTGTGGCAGACGAAGAGGCGGCCGTTGAGGCTGAGGCCCGTCGGGGGACACACTTCCTTGTCCCGGAGGGTGATCACTTCGCCTGGGGGGAGGGGGAGGGGTTAGATAATAGGGGAGGGGGGGGGGTTGGAAATAAGAGGGGGAGGGGGAAGGACGGGTTTGAAATAGAGGAGGAGGAGGAGGAGGAGGAAGAGGTTTGAAAGTAGGGGGGGAAGGGGGAGGGAAGGGTTTGGAAATAGAGGGGGAGGAGGGAGGGGTTTGAAAGTAGGGGGGAGGTGGAGAGAGGGGATTGGAAATAGAGGGGGAGGGGGAGGGAGGGGTTTGGAAGAAGAGGGGGAGGGGGAGGGAGGGGTTTGGAAAAAGAGGGGGAGGGAGGAGTTCGAAATTAGGGAGGGAGGTGGAGGGAGGGGTTTGGAAATAGAGGGGAGGGGGAGAGAATAGTGGGTAGGGGAGGAAGAGAGGGGAGGGGATACGGAAGGGAGCTCGAAAATAAGGGGTAGGGAGAGGAGGAGGAGGAGGGAATAAGGGGTAGAAGGAGGAGGAAAGGGAGGGGAAGGAGGGAGGAAGGGAGGAAGAGGGAGGGGAAAGGAGTAGGAGGGAGGGGGTAAAAAGAATAGGTGGGAGGGGTAGGGGGATTAGGTAATAGTGAGGGAGGAGGAAGGGAGATAGATAATAGGGGGGAAAGGAGAGGGTAGGAAATAGGAAGGGGGAGAGGAGAGGGTAAGGAATAGGGAGGGGGGAGGAGAGGAGGGGGTTAAAAAAAATGTGGGGAGGGGGACGGGGGAAAGGAAGGGGGGAGGGAGAGTTGGAAGGAGGGGTGTAGTGAGGAGGGAGAAATGAGGAATAGGAGAGGTAGGGGGAGAGGAAGAGGGAGAAGGAAAGGGGGAAAGGAGAAGAGGGAAAGGGAGAAGGGGAAGGGAGATGAAGAGGGAGAGGGAGAGGGGGAAGGGCAGAGGAAGAGGTAAAGAGAGAGGGAGAGGAAAAGGGGGAAGGGAAAAGATGGAGAAGGAGAGGGGGAAAG